CTCTCTCTTCTTCTTCCTCTGTATCTGTTAGAACAGATTTGACTTCTTTAAGTTCTTCCATTTTTTCTTTACCGGTTCTAAGCAGGTCTCCAATTCCCGACAGTGTTTAGTGTAACTGTCATTGACTAAGTCATACTCGTGTTCTTTATGAATGCGAACTGTGCAGTGCAGACAAATAACTGTATCACATGTTTCACAGAATATCTCCAGTGGCTTCTGGTGAGTGGAGCAGGTAAGGGTTGCCTCCTGTTTAGCAAAAGCTAGTAATGGAGAGTTGGAAGAGACAGAGGCTGTCACCTCATCAAGATGTGTTAGCTTGTGATGAGCAATAGGGGCCCATATCTTGTGGACATCCAGACATTTTTGACAAAGGAACTTACTGCAGTCTTGGCAGTATCCAGTGGCATTAGCTGTAGTACAGTTGTCACAGGTGACCTGTTGAGGATTAGCAGCTTTCTTCATGAAAGTGTGTATCTCTTTGATGTTTTGGAGATGGAATGCTACAGGAAAGGCTCCTGCTCCTTCTTCTGGTAACTCTGTACAATGACGACAGGTGGGACAAGAGAGGTAATAGGTCTCGTTCTTCTTATCCAGAGGTAATCCCTCCAGACAGTGCTGACAGAATGAATGTAGGCAGGGTAAGGACTTAGGATTGGTGTAGATATCAAGACATATGGAGCATGTGAGCTGTTCCTCCAATTTGAGGAGACCAGAAGAAAATGAAGGTTTGGTGGCCATTTTAAAATGCGAAACTGTGAATAATAGTTTAGAGAGTGAAGATAAACGGTATAAGAGAATAAAGGAAAACTTAAAGGAGATAGTATAGAAGAAGACTGAGTATACAACACAGTAGAGCTGATGATGGAATCCTCAGAGTGATGGGAGAGCTATGAGTGAGCACAATGGTCAATGGTGACCTTTTGTCCTGTGGCTGGTAGTGATGGGCGATATATCGATTCTTTATCGATATAAACGATATTTTACGGAATCGATTTGAATCATTATCGAAAATTTTATGCAATTTTCATCGATCCATTGACCACGCCCATTTATTAAGGTTAAATAACTAATTTTAATAAGTAATTGCACTGTTGAACTGCAAGAAAGAAGCAACTGACCAGTTGTTAGCTCAGCCTACTTCAATAGGAAGAGAACCAAGCTCAGGAGCATGGAAATGATTAGGAAATGATCTTCTCTGATGTCCAGTAGAGTTATATCTGTGCTAAAATCATTAGCCACACCCTTGACACACCCCAAAATGAAGGTGTGGTTATCGTATCGTTAATAATCGATATTTCCTGAAAAAGTCCATTATCGATCGTTATCGAAAATTAAGAAAATTGGCCATATCGCCCATCACTAGTGGCTGGAATAAATTTTGATAGCTTGCAAATGATAAGAATACAGACACTCCCCAACATCCTATTTACCTTGGCTGTATATAAGTGAATTGACTAAAACAATTTTTCCTCTAATACTGTGTTCACACTACCTCCCCAGCTGTACAGAACTGTATCTAATTAGATTAGTTTGGTTATAAAAGAACCATGTTGGTAGCAGTTCACACTGCACAACTTAACTACACCAACTTAACTTTAAAATTTAACTACACCATTTCAGAGCACCTATTTTGGTGCACCACTTTAGCCTGGTTTGGTTTGGTTACAGTGCAGTTCAGTTATGTTCACACGTAATATAAAACTACACTATACTTCCCCAAAACCCAGTTCCAGTACAGTTCTGAAGGGTAGTGTGAACAGAGTATAAGTCCAAGTGCCCATACACTCAAACCTGTCTATTCCGAACACTTTGTGACCCAATAATACTGTCCTGGGAGGCTGGGACTTATGAAAGTGCATGTCATTAATACACATTACTAATTTACTATTGTATTGGGACTGATACTACCTGTCCTGATTATAGAGGTGTGATCTGTCCTTATTTATGATCAGTTTTTGAAAAAAAACACATACATGTACTAGCCCATGCATGCTTTATTAAAAAAATAGCTCCAAATTTTTATAAATTTTTAAAATTGCTCCAAATGCTGTCTACTATGTACTGTATTGTAGTGCTTGTCAGCTCACGAAGCTCATGGTGTTTAGCTGATCACTTATCATGCTTTGTGGGAAACCCTGATAATAATGTACATGTACAATGTTTAAGTCAATTTAAATCACAGTTATTATCCTTTCATTCCTAGGTCATTAGAGTGGGTATGTCCTAGTTGTGGTGTTGCTAACAGGACAGCTTTACCTGAAGGAAGTGAAGAGGAGGCACGAGATACTAAAATTACTAAAGAAATGGAAGACATTGTATCACAAATGGCAATCAAAGTATATAATCACACATGTACATGTACATGTAATTATAATTCAACCATTGA